TTTTACAGTGATCTCTAAGGGAAAAGAAAATACTTTAACCTCAGATAAGAATACTTAGTAGTTGCTGCCATTTCTTCAGTTTATTGTGAGCTGTTTTAAGTAGATTAGACTGAAACCCAATGAAAAATGTGGCCATGGAACACAGCAACAAAAAAAATGCAGGAATCCTCTATCTTTAGTATTATTCGTAAAATCAACTAATTTCATTAACGATTCACAGAAGACACCCAGAGGCAATTGGGTGAGCTGAAATCCAAACAGACACCAACCCAACAGGCCTCGCTGACATGACACCAACAGTGGTGGTCAAGGGGACTTCACCATTCATGCAGAGAAATATTTCCCTCTGGCTTTCTACAAGGCATCCTGCTTCAGTGGTCGCTGCAGTGCTAGATAATGCTTGTCTGTCTGTCTCCATTCATGGCATATTAATACTGTTTCTATGTCTTGAGAGGGAGGGAGGGGGTCCGGGGCAACAGGAATACTGTGAATGCTTCTCTTCACGGGAGACTGAAGTAGGCCTAACTCAGGGCAGCTAGGACTCTTGCTCTGAAACAGACCACAGATTATATGTCCCCAGTGCCACATACAACAGCCACAATCCTCTGGACTTCCCTTTCTGAGGGATACTACTCCCTGCTGGTGTGGTTTGTGTTCCTGTTGGCTTCATTCATGAGCTGGTGAGTTGATGAAAAGACGAAGAGAAGCGTGGGATTACTATTCTGGCTAATCATACGGGCAAGCGTGACCGCTGTGTCTGTTATTAAGCCTGTAATGATGATTTGGTTCCATCAGGCTGGACGGATCAAGAGAACTCACTCGTTTCAATGAGTGAAAGTGGTGAGTCAGTGGAGCTCTGCTCTGTGTCCGCTTCGTTGTGGGGTTTCTCACAGAGCATGCCAGGGGCCTCTCAAGCTTTCCCACATTGGACACAGAGAGGATGTGGAGGCGCAAAGCATGGCCTCCCCACAGAAGCCACTGTGACCTTGAAGCGTGGTGTGGGGCCAAACAGGCAGCTGAAGGGCCACAATGAAACCCAACTCACTATCACCTTTGCCATTTGAAACTAATATACAGCTACATTCATCATGCAGCTGAGGCTGGGCAGCAAACTTCAATACCTTTCTGATATAAACCAAAGTGTGTCTGTGTCACAGATTACGAACACTGCCAAACTCTGAAAGCTGGCATCAAATGCCTGGTCAGATTCTTAGTCTTGTCTCGTCTTCTCTGTAAGGTTCTTGTGCAGCACTTGTGTTCAGACAATATTTAACATTTAAGAAGTTTGGTTTGTTTAAACCAAAATGTTTTAATTTAGAAACCAAAAGACAAGTACTTATTGTATTAGTACCGGTGCTCCACAGTAACATCCAGTGGTGGAGTAAATATTCAAACCGTTAATTAAACTAACAGCAGCAATAATACAATGCAAAAAAAAACTCACAAGTAGCTTAACAAGTAAAAGTCCTGTTTTGAAATGTTAAACAAGTAAAAGTAGAAGTATTAAGAGCAAAATGTACTATAAGTATCAAAAGTAAAAGTACACAGTGCAGAAACATGCCTTCTGTAAGTGACTACTATATGTGTTACTGAATGATTATTGAAGTAGCATTTTGCTGTTCTTGGTTGAGGTGCATCTAATTTTGATCCGTTTTATATACTTTTGTCTAGTTGAATCTATAACAATGATTCATATTCTATGAATTCTTATTTTATATAAAATCTTAATTTGTAAAGTAAACAGTGTCTGATAACTGACGTAGTAAAACGTGCAATATTTATTTCTGAAATGTAAATGAGTACAAAGTATAAAGTGGCATCAAATGTAAATACTCAAAGCACAAGTGCCTCAAATCAGATGTACTCTGTTACACTCGATCACTGGTAGCATTGAATATTTCAAACAATATCCAGCTCTACAAACAGCAGGAAAACAGCCAGCTGGCGCTGCCTTAAGTCCGTCCAACACTTTAAATCTGTCTTTTACAAGTCATTTAGGTTCTGTCACAATTAGAACCCAAAGTCAAGGTTGTCATATATGAAGTGACCATCCCACTGCACTCGTCCCCCTCCTCTTCCTCTGAAAGATAAGAAGCCCATCTGAGATGAAGAGACAATCCTCTGAGGCTTAACTTCACAGCAGTGACATGATACTGCTTCTACAGAATGCCCTTTCTTCTATGTCCATTTTCATGTGGTGCATTGAAAGATTACTCAGGCATGTTGACACGTTCTTTGGACATTTTTTCACAGCAGGGCAAGAAAGGTCTTGCTGACTCGAAGGCCGATGCCAAGGGCAAATATAAATATTTATAACTACGGCTCTCAACTGGTATTGAATCCGAACTTAAGTTTGACCTCAACTGCGAAGGCATTGTTTAAAAAAAGCACATCAAAGTTTTTCTGTAGGAGGGAAAACCGGCTAAAACACAACACAATGTGATTGAATGTGTCGTTTTGCTCATAATTTTTGCTTTTCCGTTAACAAAAAGAGAAAGCATGTATTTTAAGCCCAGGAAACAGTGAATGGTGGCCACATTAACTTAACTGTCTCCATTCCCAAGACATACTGTATAACAATGAATGAATTTATGTACCTCTGGTTGTGGTATAGCGGTACAGTCTAGTGCAATCATGTTAATATACTGACTTCTGCCAAAACCTGCCCTCCATCCATAACTCCAACATCTAGTACTATTATCCCACCTTCCAGCCACAGGAAAACAGTGTCCAGTTAAAATAAACTCTAATGAAGGAATAAGGAGGTGGCAACTAGACTTTGACCTGGATCACGCAAATTTACATTAAAAGAAAAAAAAAAAAAAAAACTTCTCACACATCTAAAAACACTTCTTAAATACAAACTCACACCTAGACTTTGAAGTCCACTGAGAAGAAATAAACTTTTATCCATATTCATCACAGTCGTGGTGAACCAGAAACATCAATCATCCCACATCAAGAGGCTGTAAAACAAAGATTTACTCAGTAATCTGAAGGGATTACGTAATTACTACTCCACATCCACAGAAGGCCAGAACAAAACCGGATGATTCCCGGTGAAGTCTTCCCCTTCAGGCAAGGTATTTGATTTGTGACTCATCACACTGGTTCATTTCCTGTATTGTGAAATAAATGTCATTAAGGCCGAATGACATGTCACGTGTAGCTGCAATCAGGCTCCATAATGCTTCATAATCCTCTAAATGTAGCTGTGTTTATCCCGTCAGAGGCTGAATTACAGTGCTCTTGCACAGTAAAACATGGTGGAACAGGTGGAAACAAAAATATACCTCCTACCCCACCCTAACAGCCAACTCATAATATTGTGTCAGCACTCAGCACCCTGAATTGTGAAATTTCACAACATGGAGTTAATTGCAAAGACCCACCCATCAAAACTTCACTCCACTGGGTGATTTCAAGACGTACTTTATTCTTATTTTTAGAAACTAGGCCAATCATGAAAAGTGCAGTGTGAGGATAACTTGAGCACTTCTGCTAAAACCCTTTCAGGATCCCAAGACAGAAATAACTACTTTTCTTAAAATAGGTTGGAGAAGATATGGACAGAGTGAGCATGATGATAACAGCTTTGCCTCTATCTGTCATGTCGCCAAAGCACAATGTTTTTTTTCCTTCCAGAGTTTTATGAGAGGGGGCTGCTTGACAACCAGAGATGGTTCGACAGCTTTTAGGAACAGAGGTGGACGTGTCCAGGCCTGACAAGCAGAGGTCAAGGTCGGCCTGTTGGTACACTGTGACGCACCCTGTGAGTTGCAGCTTGAGTTTTGCACTTCAGTAGTCCTAACATGACATGATGACCTCTGAAGTGGAAAGGCACTGAGACTGAGGTATGGTGGATATGTGCTGGAGTTCAGTGAATCGGTCCAGACCTGATGAGTCAAGCTCCAGGCAGACATAGCAGAGAGGGTTTTTTTTTTTTTTTTTTCAGATAGGACAAGCCAGGCTCTGCCATGCCTCCTCAGTCTGTGTGATGCTTCTCTCTGCTCTCACCTTCCAGTGTTTGACATGACTTCTACTGAAGCAGAGTTCCTTTAGTTGATGTTTGGCTCTAATGAAGCAGCGGCTGCATTCATTCATTTCTTTCTTAAATTGAATTCCCACTATTTCTAATGACAAAATAAGCCATTAAAGGAATAATCCATGTTCTGATGAGCTGAGAAATGTAACTTGAAGTCCAAGTAAAGGCATAGAAATACATGAAAAAACCTCAACACCCTCAAGATTGAAATGGTATGCTCGGTTACACCCAACAGAAAGAGAGGAGAATATTAATCATTAAAAAAAAAGAGAGAAAAAAAAACTTTGGGAGAGGTTGTGAAAGGGAATGCACACTCATGAGACTGAATGTCAGAGAGCAGAGGAAGAAACACAAAGCAGCCGCTGTGATTTGACAGACCATACGTGTTAATGTTAGGGCGACCTAATTCCTGTTGTGGGTCGCATGAAGCCCCCCTGTTCCTCCACCCACCCACCCCCCCAGCCAGTCAGCCAGCCAGCTCCCCACCCTCTCTGAACGTGTAATAACAAAGCGTTGATCAATAAAGTGTACTTTCCAGTGCAGACATGGACCCCCTGTCTTTGTTCCACTGCCAGAGCAACAGCATCTGTGTTGGCACAACAAACCGAGTTACAACCTCCGACTTTCCGAAATGTTGTCGCACTCATCTTAAAGCCCCCCTTTTTTCTTGAGAGCCCCCTTCGCCAAAAAATTTCCCTCCCTGCCTCCGAGCTACTTCTGAAATGTTCAAGCAATACAAGGAGGGTTACAACTATTGAATACAGCCCTGTTCCCTGCACAAACCTGGGTTTATCTCCGCTGTGAGACAGACAATCATGTAATGGAGCCTGTGAGGCTGAATATGGGGGACAAAGTGTTTGTGGATGACACAATGTTACAGCGAGTTACATGCTGCTACACCGACATTGTAACAAGTGTGACTCGGGCTTTAAGCAACAAAAACAAGAAAACTCACCACAACTCCTGTAGCACCCGAAGAAAACCCGGAGGAGGGATACAAAAATCAAAGCCAACCAGGAATTTATCCTCTCTTTCGCTTCCACGTTTTTCAACCCCGGCCCCAGTCTCCACACCCCAGGAACCGAGAGTGTGAGCGGGGTGGGGGGACCTGGGTGATAGCAGAGGAGGGAAGCACGATCTGGGACACACAGTCAACACTTCGCAGTCAGTTTATCTACTAAATCCAAGCAAGGAAGGCACCCCCTCTCTAAAAGAAATCCTCACTTCGCCCTAACGTACCGTCCCTTCGGAGGGTACTTTCTTCGCCTTCCTGGAGATTAAATCCCACGGTTTATCCGCTGTATCCGGGCGCGTCGGCCGACTATTCTAGTCCGCCATGTTGTGTGTCTGTCTGCATAGGAAGAATGGGAAGCGAGCAGCAAATTCCCAGGCCAGGCCCCGTCTCTTCTCCACTACGTTTCTGCATAGCCCGCAGCGACACCTGCTGGCAGAGCCGAGTATTACACAGCCCGGACTGTGCCAAAGACTTACTGCTGGTAATGCTTCCTTTATGAGGCCCGGGGTCCTCTAAAGGGTCCACGAAGGGGCCCCCATTCACTTTCACTGTTCCACTGTTTCGAGATAGTTGTACTTGAATATTTCCGTTTTATGCCTCTGTGTAGGTACTTCTATTTTATTTTTATCCAGACACATATTCAACATGCTATAGTTGGTTAGTTACTTCTCAGATTAAGACACACATAAAACAAAGTTTATAAAATATGATACATTATTAACTTTAAATCACTCAACAGTATAGACACTGCTAAAATTAGATTCACCTTAAGCAACAGAAACATTAGGCACCACTTACATGTTAATGCATCATTAATAATGAGACAAAAACTTAACAGTAGCTGTAACAACGTCTGCACTGCATGAGTAGCCTACTTTTACTTTTGAAAATTTTGAGTGCAGGACCTTTACTTGTACAGATGTATTTTAATATTGTGAATCTGTTACTTACTTTACTTTTACTTAAGTAAATGATCTGAATACTTCTGCTACTAGATGAAAGTATGTGAAATGTTTACGTTTTTGAAGGTTTATGGTCCATGGTAACAATGTGTCCTATTCATAACAGTGTGATGCAGTTTATTTTTAAGAGAGCAAATGATTAACTGAAGAAAACAGCTTGAATGAAAAAAAAACTTGAGAGTAAACAGTTCAGGAAAGTAAAAGAAATAGCTTATGTCAGTTAACAAATATGATAATTTCAACAGTATTGTCAGTGGTACTACTTTTTCTTTTGTATTAAAAGTAATCAGATGTTAAATCTTGCTCCTTCTGAACAGTGATAAGTTGGCAGGAATATGTTACAGCTGAGACACTGATCTTTTGATCAGCAGAAAATCAACTGGTAACAATTCTGATAACTGATCAATGAAATATTTATTTTTTAACAAACGTGCCAAAAAAATGTATAGCTTGTCAAGTGTCAATATTTTCTGCATGTCTTAGTCTTCTGTTATACTCAGCTAGTGGTTGGACAAAACCAGAACTTTGAATAAGTCAAATTGAGTTTAGAAAAACATACAATGACATACAATTAAAAAAAAACAAAAAACAAATTTTTTTTTTAAGTTTCTACCTATTGTATGGATCAAATATTAGTAAATTAATAAAGAAAATAAAGACAGTAATGATTAGAGGTAGCCCAAGTCTATTAGCATTGTGAACGACAGAAAAAACTCAGCATAAACATTGTGTATTTGATCAGTTTCTTGTTTCCTGCTTATTCTTTTTAATGGTCCTGGGGATCTAGAGCATACACTCTACCATCGTATTCATACTTTTCATAGATACTCTTGACTTACATATGTTTGGACACAGGGAGCTCCTCATGCTATGAGGTGATGCGTGCCCTGATAAAAACTGAATATCACTAAATACTGCAACAGTCATCTATTAACATTCACGCAAGGATTCTCCACTCAAGATGTCGTATCTCATGAATTCTTTATTATTCACATCTCCTGTTAAATGACGGAGCAATTAAGCTAAAACTTGGAAGTTAATAAATAATATGAAACTATGCATACATCATGTTTTGACAGCGATTACTGTCCAGACATAAAACCATTCAGTAGAAATTACAGGACCTTGTCAAGAGAACAGAATGTGAATGGCTCGTGTGTAACAGCATGGAAACATGTTTTATACTGATAAGACTTTGCATTTTCAACCTTCTTCTTTTTTGCCTTAGATGTCATATTTAATGGTTATGCTCAACTGAAAATCAGAGTTTTTGGATATTATAGCTCTGCTTTTCATCTACATTTTACTGTGTTTAAGATGGAAAATGTGCGTACGCTGTTGCTGGAATATATTGTACTGTATGTGTACAATCGGTGAAGAGATCAGTTTAACACGAGGTAAATCAAAAAGCGTGCGTGCATCTCAGCAGCTGACAGATTCGCAAATACAATGCTTAGACTGCCAGGTTAGCAATGACAGCCCGGGTGAACTCGTCGCTTGTTGCATAGCCCCCCAGGTCTCCAGTGCGCACCTGTTGCAAACATAAGGACAGTGTGTTACTATGTGCACAGCTGCTGCAACACATGTCCACATACAGTATCATGGCCAGTGTGTTAGAGAGCCTTTAGAAACTGCACTCACAGAAAGCACAAAGTGTGATGAGTGAGATATGTTCTTTCAGAGAGCATCAGTTTCATCTCATTTCAGTAATGTAATATTATGTCTCAACAGTGAGAGAACACAATACTGTTCTAAAACATGCGTCTAGTCTTATTAATTCGTATTCAAACACAGTCACATCATTCAAAGTCACTGGCTACGAAGAGAAGACAGAATGTTATTTATTCAAAACCCCATCACAATTGTAACCAGCTTTAATTTGTATAAAATTTCCATGTAAGATTTGTGGACAAAATGGAAACAAAATCTGATAAACATAATAAGATATGACAGCGTTTACACTGGTGGTGGTAAACATTCTCCACAAATCAGCTTTACAGGCTTGAAAGAGAATTATTTGTGGTTAACAGCTTACTATGAAAAGCATGATAGATGAAGTGGTGAGATACAGCAGTGCTTTAATTTCTTACAGCATCGGTGGCATGAACAACAATGACTAATATTAACTTGTTGATAATAGTCCTTAGACATAATGTTTAAATATAAAAATTAGGACCCATTTACTCATTTGTTGTCACACGACAAAAGCCCTAAGCAGATAATCCGTGGTGTACATTTTCATAATTCAGCCTGGTGTAGAAGCTGTACACCACAGAGGACTAGTTTATGGTCATCACATTAGAAGATCCTCTGTGGCTGTTAAACTGTAGAATCATTATAAAACTTCTTGGTTTGGTATAACACCTGAAAATGATTTCACAAACATTGGAGCAATACCTGAGAGTACTATATAGCTTGAGTCTAAATATTTTTGGCTTTCTCAATTTTTGTTTTGGCAGAGTTGTTAATGTTAAAATACTTCCTGCATTATTAATATCACAGAATTTTTTCCCTTTGCTGTACAGTAACACTTTACAGCTTTAGCTGTTTACAGCACTGCAATGGCAGAACGGGGTTTAACTGAAAACAATGAGAAACTTGTAGGACAGAAATGTTACGTTATTAGTGGGTCATGATGTAGCAGTGTTACCATAATATATATTGAGGTACAGTAGCATTCCGTCTTTATATTGTTCAGTTTTGAGTAATGTAGAAAATCAGATGAAGAAAAATATGAAGTCAGTTAGTGGTGAACTGTGAGGTCAAAGTAGATTAGCAGGTTGGTTGTTTCATATTGAATTTCAAATAATGTGACAACAGAGAGGTAGTCTACATGGTCAACATGTCTGAAACATTTAGATAATTAAGCAACAACCACAAGCAAATGAAAAGGAAAGAAAAAACAGAAAAAGCAAAAAGATGCGAAGTGATGGGCACAGACTATGAGGACAGAGGGATGTCTACAGAGAGGGGCAACAGAGGATCAAACCTCGTGAGCTGCACATTTTTAGTAAAGTACAACACAAGTTAACATCTGCAAACCCAGTATAAACCATATACATTAGGATGCAACTGACGGTGTTTGTCAAAACTGTGCAACACAACTGTCAGTGAGAGGGGAGATGAGTCTTAACATGAGTCCAGTTCATGTTGAGACAATGTCCAGATTTAAGGAAATGTCTGTGAGGAGTGTGATGAAACATCTTAGTAAACAGGTCGGTGGCGCAGGTTTTCCACAACAGCACGCACAAAGTCGCCAGTGGTAGAGTACCCGCCAAGGTCTCGTGTCCGTACCTGGGACGTGCACACAGATACACACAAACACACACATGGAGGATAATGGGGTACAAGGAGAGGAGGGAGTTAAAAGGAGAGGGAAGAGGGAGAGGAAGGGCACTTCAGACAACGTGCAGGAAAACTCTGCTTAAATTGACAAAAAAAAAAAAACAACAAAAAAAACAACAAACATATCTCACATTCATACAGCAGTCTCAAAGACAACACCACCCCAACTGAAAACACGTTTTGCCATCATGTAGAGGAGAAACAAAAAAACGAAAAAGGAAAAAAGTCTGCCCTAAAGCTGCTATTGCTGAAAGGTGATTTTTTTAGACCTGAACTGGCCATGCAGTTTAGCAGACATCTGAGGGAAGAAGGTTGACCTACTTCATGCTAGTGTTCGTGTCAGTGTGTGTTAGTGTCAACAGGGATCAGGTGCAAAAGGCAGTTAAAAAAAATAAAAATGCAGTTCTGGTAACAAATGCATTCAACTTGCACATTCAGTAAGAAGGACTAAATTAAGCAATGAAGAGAAAAGCCAGCGGAGTTAAGACACATAAATATACAACTTCAGAAGTAAGTAATCAAAGGCTCTCTAACACACTCAAGTGTAGTCGTTAGATACTGTAAATCAATTACAGATAATTTGTGGGTCAAGAACTGGTAATATTACACTTAGGGAGTTAGTGTCATTGCTGCTATTTGACTTATTTATATGACAGAGCTCTGTGGTTAGCTGTTCAGGGCAGCACACTGAAACTCTCTTTAACATTTAGTGTACGTTTTATTTTCTCAACTCAGCCGTGAGCAGGATGACACTGTATATGTGCGACTGCAGTTACTGACCCACAAAAGCAATGAGCAGAAAGGTTAATTTCGATAACACGGGATGACAGGATATGTGGTAAACAAGTCCCGCTGGCTCCACATATCCTCATTCTGCAGAATTACCACTTGTTACTTTGCTCTACTTAGGACTGGGTGATATAACCAATAAACTCGGTGTATTGCAGCTTGTTTCACATGGGATGTAGTAAATGACGATATTGCGAATATTGAGTAGAAATTGTCACATAATTGTTTTAGGCCACC